AGTGTACAGCATCGATTTCTGTGGAACCCAGTACCTGTCAAAACTTTCACATTTTTACGAATAACTCGGAAATCGTAAATTTTTCAGGTAAAACGGTTGAAACAAACAAATTAAAATTGAACGGCCAATCTGAAAATAACAAAAAAAAGGGGGGGTTTCATTTAAAAAACCAGAGTTGGTAACTACCACACGTTTATGATGCACCCTGTATATTGGAAAGTAATTTTAGAATGTGGACCTTTTAAACGTGAAAAACTTTCGTTGGACGAATTTTCTTGTAAACTTCATATTTACTGAGATATCGCACTTTGACGCACTAATGAGCAACCCTGTATATATTATATATATAACGTTTTAAAAATTATAAATACTAACAAATCAAAGTAGCGTTGAAATGCGACAAGGCGCTCCCTCCACCCCATAACTTTCGCCCGGTAGCACTTTTTTAAATGGAAATGTTTACATCTAGAACGGACGAACGGGTCCTATCTAATGGCCTTTAAATAGCCCCGACTTAACGCCTCTTGATTCGTTTCTCGGGGATTATTTAAAGAATATTGTATATGAGCCTCTAGCAGACGCCTTAAAATTTAATAAGTTATAGTAGCAATTATGTTCTCTATTTTGTTTCATTTCAGGCTACTTTAATTTGTTGCCATTTAAAATTTTTAGAACATAATACAGAAAGAACGGCTAATACAAATCTAGGCAATACATACAGGGTGATTCACGGTCGATGGCATATTAGACGTTTAAGGAGAACGCGGTGAGATGCACGATCTATCTGCAAATGTGTGCAACGAAGTTTTCGAATATGCTCTATCGGGCAAACATGTTATCAGCAATACTGGGTTGCCGCTTATATCAAAAAGTACATACAATTTTTAAATTTTCCGCATGTCCTTGGAAGGTCGCATTGTCCGGAAGAATAAATAGTTTCATTAAAACTTCCGTTAGAATAATTGTGGCTCTCTAATTTGTTAATCAAAACTCCATAGCAACAAGCGCACAGTAATTGTCTCTATAACTAAGCTGACAACTGGTTTGAAGAATTACAAAATCTTTAACTATTGTGATATTTACTGGCTATTTTGACAAATACGTCAAATTAATCGAATTTTTGCAATAATGTGTTAATGTGTTGCTTATTTCGGAAATATTTGACCCTTTAGATATAGAAACATGATGTATCGTTTCGTAGGGAATTTAATGATATTTGAACTAATATACAGGATATTCTATTTGGAAAAATTTATTTGGAGCAGTTTTTATCTCCATCTGACAGGTCAGTATTTTCAAGACATCCTATACAATTTGGAACAATCTGCTGGGCGAAGGACTTTGTAATACAAAATTCCTTGAGTCTTTGTTTTCATTAAAAATAATGAATGTTATGTATTATTTTGGAAACCGCTTTAGATAGGTATAGGAATCGTTATGCAAAAATAATCAGATCGATAAAGTAAATCTAAGCGTTCAATAATATAGATACAGGGTGTCTCATTTCAAATATCAAAGTTGTATGAACTTTTCGATATAAGCGACAACCCCGCATTGCCGAAAATATTTTATCCGATAGAGCATATCCGACGACTTCGTTGTACAAATTTCAGATAGATCGTGTATCTCGTTCTCCTTAAACGTCTAATACGCCATAGACCATGAATCACCCTGTACATATTTCTGAAATCAGGAAAAAAATCCAATCGACCTGTCTAAAAATATATAGTGTGTTTTATAAAAAAAATAATTTATGTCAAATTTTGACATTTCCGTGTTTTATATTTTTATTAAAAAAAATAAATAATAATATCAATAAATAAATGATCTAAGGGGGGTGTTAACTTATGAGGAAACACCCTGTACATGGTATGTTCGGCAGATTAGGACCAAAATAAAATGTCATATTATCTAAAATGTATCCATAATAAAAAACAGAATCAAACATCGTTTCAATTTGTTAATTATCCCAACTAAAAGACATATTTCCCTTCTATTATTCCAGTGTTCCATGCGTTTTTATCATCACGATTGTTAATGTTTATTGTAAATGGATTTGGATCGAGTGTAACATCACAGACCGGTCCGACCAACGGGTTAAAACAAATGTCTCTTATGCCCAGAAAATATCTAAAAATTCTTATTTCGATTGGAATACCAAGATGACACAATGACCCAATATACACATGAGACCCAAAATAATTGGGCGATGTGTATCCGCAGAAAAGCGGCAACTAAAAGTGGAGTTTACGTCTTATCATATTAATGTTATACTATAGATGACTGAAAAGTTTTTTCGTGTCCGAAAATTCTAAACTGAAAGGGATTTTTCTCCCGTCTTAAGAGGACAAATAATTTTTGGAAGATCGCAGGTTCAAGTCCCGCAGAAAGCAGTAAATTTTTGTTACTCCAAGATAATATATAATAATTAATACCTCCTTGTAGATAAGTCTTTTAAGTCATAATGTTAAGATAATAATTATGTGCTTTGATCGATATTAAATCAGCAATACTGCGATTCAAAATTAATAAACAATTCATAATAGAGCAAAAGTGGCTCGGGTGAAGTGTAATTTACCCGGATATCGACTAGAAAAAAGGTAATTAGACTTCAATTCCCTTTTCATTCAGATTTATCCGTAAGGATTAACTGCGGTTTTTGTCATATTTGTACCAGCCTGTCCCCGACCATCATCCTCCAGTTAAAAATGCTCAACTTTAACTCTTGTACTTAACTGAAAAACCACTCTTTTAATTGGTTCAGCTAGTAAATATCAGTTTACTCTAAGTATTAAAACTTTGCATCTTCGAATATATGTAGCAAAAAGCGAAAGTCAACAGAATTTTTCAGTTTTTAGCAATTTTGCAATTAGAACGCATTTTTACATATGAACACATTCATTTTAGTCCTTTGCTATCGAAAACATATTTGTAATGAAAACGAGTTTTTACGTTCGTGCAATAAGAAATATGATACCTCGTTTCGACTCTCTTTTGACGGAGCCAGCTAGGAAAAAAAGATACCTAGTAGTGTCCTATTTTCGACGTAAAAAAATCAAGAAAACAGTAATTTATTTATGTGTGCATGTAACTTGCCTTCTTCTTTCACATCATGTTCTTCTTTCACCTCTTCTTTTTTAATTCCTTCTTTAACATCTGGTGTATGACCTCCTTGCTTCTGAGTCAATTTATTTTGCAAGTCCTCAATTTCTTTCTTTAATTTCGGTAATTCTGTGTTTGCTTCTTTGTACTTCCGCTTGTATCTGTGAACTTCACCTATAAAGAAATATTCAATTCAACTATTCAGGTTAATAATAGGTGTATTTGGTTTAATTGATTGGTACTTAATAGTAAGTGTTTGGTAACTAGATGCCTTCCTTGCAGGGGGTGATAGTGTAAGTAATTTTGATTATTTTTCGTTAATAGACCATGTTCCGAAAATGCTTAGTTTCCGATCTACAGGGTGTTAATGTTATAATAAAAAAATGTTATTTATTAATATTGCCGAAACCGCTTGAAGCATTTAAATTAAATTTTATAGGTTTACACACTTAACAATACCTACATGTTTTCTGATTTTAAAAAATGTCTAGCTTTTTGAGTGGAGTGGGCACAAATACGTATCTGCATAATTTTAAATAAAAAAAATGGTGTGCGTCACGGGACGCTCGATAGAAGTGATAACTTCATAAATTAATAGAAACCATAAAATATTGAACTTGTTTAACGCATGATGGCAATAATAATTTTATTTTATAATTTTAATATTTTTGTTAGTCTAATAATTTATAAATGGATCAAGAAAAGGTAAAATTTTATTTAATTTCCTTTTGAATGTAAAATATCTTTTTTATTTGCAACATTTAAYATTCTTTAACGAGATGTTGTACATATTGCTCTTCTTGGGTTTGTCTAAACTCTTCTTGAGTTTCTGTATTTTTTTGTCATAATTTCTTATTGGCTTTGTATAATCTTTGACGTTCAGCACTAGTTCGTGGTTGATGAAAGCTACTTTGAGTTGATCTATTACTTAATGCTCCTTTTTTAGCACGAAATCGTTTTTTGCGTTCAGCATTACTTAATACTTTTCGCATTATAGCATGGTTTTGTGACTGCTCTTGTGTATGTTGTTCATGAACGTCTTCTACAACTTGTATCTGAATAGGACTAAAAAATCAATTAATTTTGGTGATTGGAAGACGTTATATCTATTTAAAATAGACGGTTAAACGAGGAAGAGCTATAGAGACAGGATACACTTGACGCACTCTAGTATACATAATGTAAGCCATCGCTCCTATGTTCAAAAAAAATATTCTAACTGAACTAATCCAAGGCTAAAAAAATTAAACTAAATTGAGAAGATTTAATCATAAAGGAATCAAAGGGTATATGAAGGAAAAAAATCCATTTTGCGTGGTAAACACAATCATAGAAATAATATAGAGAATTGAAAATAAGCCGTTTAAATTCGTTTTACATATTTTGCAACTATAAGCTGAAGGGAGATTCGTACCGTCTTAACATCAAGAATGCGTTGCGGTATAAAAAATAAGAAGACGGAACCCATGTTTTCTGAAATAACCGAGGTAAACTTAAATATGTTTTCAATTAAATTCAAAACATATTTATTATGTATTATTACAAAACAGTAATGATGTTGATCATTTTATGTTAAATATGAAAGATTACAAAATATATATCTAAATATTGATTATTTGTTGTTACAAAATAAAATAACAAATAATAGAAATTATTAAAATTAAAATTAAAAGTTATTAATAATAGTTGTGACACTTTATTTGCACTTAATCTTGAGCGTTTCTCATAAATTGACCCTGCCTTCTTTAGAAAATATACGCTCAACATCTGGTTTAACAATTGTCTTTGATGAAAATCACTAAACAAGTAGGTAGTAATATTTTACCAGTTCGGAACTTTGAATCGTGCAATACAATGCAAATGAAGATCATCTGGGCAGCATCTGGACTACAGACGGAGGGTAAGACATAGGGAATCGGTACCAGGATTCTATCGAAACGATTTAATTTCATTTAATCTATTCTTGATACGAATTTGCGTCCACAATCAATCAGGCGATTTAAAATAGGTCCAATAGTTTTTCCAAAATTTTATTATAGTGGATCTGAGGCACAATTTTGTTGCATAACATCGATTGTTAGTTCTTAAAACAATATTTAACAGTGCACTGCAATGTGCAATCTCATTTGCAATGATAAATACCCGGTCGTTTGAAAATGATTTTCAAAAGTTTGTATTACATTTGTCTGCAAATTGATGGACGATCCGCATTTTTTGCACTTAAACTGCTTTAGGGTGTATAATTGTGTGTGTACTTTAATTGAAAATTTAAAAAAAGGCGAAACTCGAACAGGCATTTAGTACATGAGCACCCTTTACCTAGTATTTGCAGTATCTGCAGGTTCTCCCTTGATAATTTGTTGATTCATTGTTATCAGCGTTATAAAATAAACTGCACCGAACACAATAATATCACACCCAATAATTGATAAATCAGAATAATTGTCAGTTTAATAACGCAATGTGTATTTGAAAAGTTTATCAGATCTACAGATGCACCCGCACTAAGAGAAAAATGTCGAATTCAAAGTGCATATGTGCGTCCCAAGCCTCAGGCGCGAAGAGGCCGGAGTGGAAGCCGCCGTGACCGAGAAAAATCGGTTTAGCCTCCCATAAAAAGTTATCACTTTAAAAATGTTACAACACTGATTTTTCAAACAATAAACATGATGAGTCAAATTCCTGTTCAATTTTTAAGACTTGACTTTTTCCTACGGCGTCCAGTTTTCGAGTACACAAATTAAATGGATTTATTGCACAGCGTCATCGGGTTTTTATTAAAAAGTTGTCCCTTCACTAGTTTTTGTCACTGACTCACAAACTTAATAATTGCTCTCATTTCGAATGAGTGTCTGAGTAACTTTAGTTGTCACATTCTTTTTGCGTGTTATATAATTTCGAGTAAGTTCACATCAGTTAAAAACTTTATTTGTTGAAATGGGTAAGTTTTCAAATGCTGAATACGCAGATATAATTTACATTTATGAACTTTGCGACGGAAATAGTGCTAAAGCGCACCGCGAACATCAGTGTCGATTTCCAAACAGGCGTCTTCCAAATAGCCATGTCTTTGCAAACACCTATCGAAGGGTCAGTAAGTCAAGAAAACTACGAGACAGACAAATTCACGTAGGAGCTCCAGCACGTTACAGCACTAATGAGTAAGAAGCCATTCTCAGGGTTTTTCAAGAAGATCCGACGAAGAGCGTACGCGTCGCGGCTAGACGTCCTATAGTGTCATAGTGGAGAGTTCGGGCGACAATGAGCACAGAGCAACTACATCCCTATCATTATACACCGGTTTAAAACTTGCTTGAACGAGATCCTTTAAGGAGAATAGGTGCCTTTACACTTACACTCTGTTCGGGAACGACGCACTAATGGCTGGTTCAGCAGTTGGCAAAAATTGTGGCGAACCAAGAGCGTGTTACTAGAATTGCAGCGTTGTAATAACCAACTCTTTTCCCACGTCCCTGGCATGTGAGATGATAAGCTTCTGCGGATAAATGCAAAATTGGCAGATATCGTGCTCGAGTTGCGTGGCTCGTGGAGTTTTAGAATTTCTAAAAGGATCGACCACAGTTTTGGCTCAAAATGTACAAAAGTAGGCAAAAAATGAAAGTGGCTCTAGAACTAGCTGTGTATATGGATTTGATGGATGAAGAAAAGAAAAGAAGGAGAGTAAGGGTGCAAAAATCGTAAAAATGAGGAAAGATCGTAATAAATATGGGCATATGCCATTAATAAATGAATTACAATATCATTCTAAGCAAAATAGCCGAGATTTGAGACCACCACCACGGTAAAATCCGTAGCACGATCCTTTCTACCTGTTAGGTGCCTCTATACTTACGCTCTTATCGTGTGATTGGAGTGCCCCGATGCAGTCGCGCACGAGAGATCACTAGTCTAAAGAAAAATACTGGCGTACGCGAAAGTTGTACATTGCCTGCAGGTTTTTCGTTGCCGTAGCGAACTGCAAAGTTTTGCACGCATTTTTGTACATCGTGATTTTCGTGTGGAATTTTACCGTGTGATATCAGAGTGGTCCAAAATATCTGGTATTTTGCTTAGAAATAATAATAATAAATCTAAGCGAAAATGTGCCGCTAAATAATCCTCAGGACCTTATGTTCCCGCATGATGGATGTCCTGCACATTATCGGCAAATTGTAAGGGAGTACCTTGATCAGCGTTTTTCGAATCGATGGATGGGGAGAGGAGGCTTCATATCATGACATGCTAGAAGCCCAGATCTGACTCCGTTAGACTTTCACGTATAGAACAGGGTGAAATACTTTTTTCCATGCTCCTGTGGAAGCGTCTACATAGGAAGTCCTAAGAGATCGGTTGCGACAAGAATAGAAGAACACCGACGGAATTGTAAACTGGGACATGTGGAAAAGTCGGCAGTGGCGGAACATGCCCTCCGCGGTGGAACACACAATATGAATACGAGAAGCCATTGAAATCTACAAAACACGACGACAATTTCAATAGAAAAGAAGCAGGAATTGCGCTAAACAGGATATGGTTTTCAGCACTCACCAACGCAAAAACAGCAAGAAAAAGCAACAGCTCAGGACAGGAGAGAGAATCCAGTATACCGGAGGATAGCAACAGCCAGCAGAATGCGCAGGCTCCGATGACATAGGCCACGTCATCGCAACTGGTGCATAAATACGGACTGCGCCCGAGGAATCGCATCGGAACAGTGTAAGCGTTCAAGAAAACAACTTCTGAAGATGCAAGCCACTCGTGCTTGCGAAACGTCAGAAAGAAATTCTACCCAACGACGGCCTAAAAACCCGAAAACCCATTAGTTTCAAGGAATTGCCTCGAAAGTCTATATAGCAGGGTGTGGTTCGTGTGTATTTTTTGGAAGAGATGCGTAGAATTACGTACTTTAGCTCTTTTTAATTTTTATTCCTTTTTTTGTGTTTTCCGGGTCGTTTATTATGTAAAGGCGCGGAATATTACGTTGGTGTGAGTAAGTACACAGGTTGTTAGCTAAACGCTAAATTTCCATTGGGTTAAGGTATTGTAGTTAGTAAGGCGATTTAACTAGAACAGTTTCTGTGTGATTAAGTGCCAGCGCATCTGGTTTAGGTGTACCCCACATTTGTTCTTGTTTCTTCTTGTCCCCCTTTTTGCAGTTCAGGAACCCTAGGTTACCCCCCGAACAAGCCAGGAACAGAAAGTCGGTACATAAATCCCCCCCCCCCCTTTTTTAGCTGGCCTACTTAATCCATAAAATTTAGTTTTAATTTAATATTAGTGGTCTAACTTTAAGGATTTACTTTTTTTTAATGAATTCAACCCAATTCCTTTATTGTTTCAGGACATCACCCAACTGACATCCCTGCGTGAGAACGTTTAGGCCTTCTGCGTCTATAATTGCTAATCTAATTAAAGGCCGTTGTCCTTATTTTCTGATTTCAAGCCCGTTGGCTGGCTTCAGCTTATTTTATTTCAGTTTTCAGTAATACATTTTTGAAAAAAAATTGATACAATTTAAGTGCACAATTTTTGCTGTTTTTATATTAAACTCTACTTAATTACAACCCGATTAAGCTATGCAATAAGTCGATTTTAATTTTTTACTCAAAAACGATGCGCTTTACAAAAAAAAGTCAAGAGACCTTTTCTCTTCCAAATTCAAGAATTTGACAAATAATATTTAATTTTAGAAAAATCAGTGGTCATAATATTTTCGCCACTGGTTAAGCTAAAAACAAAATTTTTATCACAAAAAATGTATTGTTGTCAAGTGCTTAAGCCAATAAAATTTCATTAAAATATTCCAAACGATTTTAGCAATATTAATAAATATTTTTTTAAATTAAAACTTTAACACCCTGTAGACCGAAAACTACGAGTTTTTATACTATAGAATTATTCCTGATTCTTCAATTTAAAATCTTAATTAGCCATAAGCCACGCCGCGCTTCTCAAGGCAAGTTTTGTCCTACAATTTTTAACGCAAAATGTAGTTTTTCCGTAATTTTTTACTTCTTTGAACTCTTTTTGTTTGTAGAAAACCTCACTGGTTTTGTCAATAAATCATAATATGTTAGATATACATAAAATCATATTACGCTGCGGTGTCAGACAATCAAATTACATGAATAAGTTTGGTCACTCCGTATGTAATGCATACACGTATGTAATGCATACACGTATGTAATACATACATATTAGAATGCAAACCTTTCAATTGTTGTGTGTTGTTTTGGAGTGATGTAATCAAATGTCTCATTTCTCGGTTGATCGGTCCCGTTTGCTCATTAGCTGCCAAGTTCTGCTCAAATTCAATTCGGAGCATTTCGTATTCTTTTCTCAATTGAGCAAGAAAATCTTCTAGTTGCATTACCTCTTGACGTAGTTTCTTCTGAGCGATTAATTCTTCACTCTATAAAAAAAATGTAGTTTGATAAGAAATATTGATATTAATATAGGATTAGCTATTACATTGTGATTATAATTAAAGTAGGATTCAAGAATATTAGATCTGCTTGAACCATTCACAAAATCTAAAAAGTCTTAGTTACTTTGAAATTTATTCTTGTCTTATTAACGGAAGTTGTTGTATGATATAAAGTACTTACTTCCATCATTTCTATATTCCTTAAATGTGCGTTTTTACTTGTCTGAAGTTGTTGTCTAGCTTCATCTAGTTGAGTCTTTAGCTGCATCGATTCGTTATACAGAACCGAAAATTGGGACTGAAGGCATTTGTACTCGGTGGTTTCTACTATAACGCTTTCCGGTAATTGACGAATCTAACAAGTCCAAATTAATCAGTAAAAAACATTGAGGTATTCTGTGAATTACTCACATCCATTTTCAATTTTTCTACTTCTTTTAAGGTTTCTCTATGAGTTTGATGCAGTTTATCCAATTCCTGCAGTCTATTATTTGCTAGCTCCTTCCACTCTTCTACTTCTTTCATCAAGTCTTCAAGTTTGGCCTAAACATGTGAGATGTTAAAAGAACGCGAAGATAAGCATGTTTCTTACATACCCATATTCTACTAGTTTTTTATGCGAGAAGGTGATTCGTGAGTAATAGACAATTGGGCTGCAATTAAATGCATATAAATGTTCAAAAAGATTATTGAAAAGTTATTGAATTGAAAGTTGAAAAATAACCAACATATATACAATATTTAATTTAGTGTCCCAAAATAACTTAATATTTTAACAAAAATTGATCTCGAAAGTTTTTAAAAGGAATGTGTGTGTAAAGTGTGTTCTAAGTTTGTCTGTAGTTTCTGTTTACTACAGCAGCAAGTCTGAGAATATTTCTGATAAATATTATTGCCTCAATAGGCCTTTTGCATAGCTGTTTATTCTGTTCATATATGGTCAAGTAACCATTTGACAATTTAATTTTTATTTCAATTTTCGTACAAGGAAGCTATAGGCAATTTAAATTTGAATTTCTATTTAGCGCGCTAAAATGGGGCGCCAGCATTTGCTGGACGGCTGACGTCACGAGACAGGACTTTGATATTGGGATTGTTTAGTTCACGTTGTGCCGGCGTTTAATTTTTTGTTCAAGCCAACTTTAAAAATAATGAAACCTGATGCAATTTCCCGCAAATTCGCTTGCCAAACAGATAGAAAACGAACTTTGAATCTGCGTGAACGTAGTGCAGTTTACAAACGTAAGAGACTTGAAATTGTTGCGAATGTTTTACACGAACATAACGTACCTAACACTTCAAAAAAGACATCGTATGTGAAGAAGAAACTAAAATGAAAGTAAATTTGAGATATACGTCAGGCATCACAATGCAACGTCCGGGCAGATACGTTGTTCGAAAGTTGCTCACCTAACAAATTTGCTTCTGAAAGTATTGCTTTATCCCCAATAAAAACACTTGCAAAATCCAAAATATACACATCATCCGAGTCGAGTTTGTCAAACTCAAGTGATAACATGAATGAAGAAGATCGTTCAACTTTATCTAGTTCAGATGATTCTGAGCTTGACGTTGGGGTAAATGAAGAACATCGAAAGTATATAGCAAAACATACTGTAACGGAGATGGCCTGGGGTACTCACGTTTGGAATGGGGGATCGAAATTCATGGTATTTCAGTAAATGGGAGCCCCATTTGGGCCCCATTTACCGTCAAATATGACACTGACAAGCGGGAAGTTTCGCACCTGTTCTGGAGATTTCTAGAACTATCTGGAATACCTGGAGAAAACTATATAAGCGACGACGAGAACCAGACGAGGAGGAGTAAAGTGACAGCAGCGACCGGGTGCAGAAGAGGTTGATCCCCGCGAGTCGGAAGAGCGTGTTTTCCGTGTGTTATTGTTATTGTTTGTGAAGTTGGCGGTAACTTTGAAGTTAGTTTGTTCTTGTTCCGCAGTTAAAGTTGTACCGAGTGGAATAAAAGTTGGAAGCAGAAGAAAGAGTTTGATACTCGGCCATCCACGGTACAATACTTTTATGAAAATTCAAAATAATTCAAAATTATATCTGGGCGTAATGACAGAAAATATATTTATAATTGAACTAATAAAACAATTTACTCATTTAGACACCACAAGTATATACATATTTAGTATTACAAAAAATACGCTTTGATAAATGTTTTGCAGAATTAGGTGACGATTTTTGGGGTTTCTACAAGTTTCAACTGCTAATAGAATTTTTTTAAAGTCAGTTGAACCAATTAACCGAATGTTGAAAAGTTTGATAACGTGGATGTCAGCTGATAGTCAAAAAAGGTCTTCCGAAACCCTTTAGAACACGTTTTAGCAAAGTTTATGCTATAATTGGTTGCTTATAAATTGAAATCCAAAAGCCAGAAAATCCAATCAAACAAGCTTAAGCGTGGTCTAATTATAAAAATGTAATACAATCAAATATCTGATGTCTTTCACACCAGATCTAATACTGTTATTGTCGAAAAAGGTGGATGGTTGGATAAGAACAAAACAATAAAAATAAACTTTACAAACAACATCATAAAACAAAACATAATATACGGTTTAAATGAACACACGGGACTACATGTAGGCCGACGTGTCTCGTGACGTCAGACCAATCACATGGCATTTCCGCATGGCACCAATTTGATCAGATTTTTTTTTTCGGATTTATTTTTCTTGCGTATTTATATGCAAAACAACTCGTATTCTAGTATGTTTTTAATTACTGTAATCTCTCTAATTTCATGCAAAGGGCCCATTGTAGTAAGGACTGAGTCAGAAAAAATCGCTACACACAAAAACCTTAATTAACAACGAAAGCAAAACGTGTTTTAAAGATGATTTCATTAAGATTAATTCAAAAAAAATTAAGCAAATAATTTGTTTTGACAGACTTTTTTAAAATTTTTCTGGTGTCCTTTCCATCATCGACTTTATGGACGCTTTGTTGATTTTTCTGGCGGCAGAATTTCACTTTACTTTGAATTCTGGTAGGGTTTCAGCTTCTTTTTTGTTTCTTTCAAAGATGTTTTTACCAAGTCCTAATATCCATCAATTCGGCGAAACTTTGTGAAATTTGGCGGGTTGCCTTCCCTAGGCATCAAAACGACTATTCGTTTAGCACCATTCTACAGCTCTCTTACTGTAATGACAGGAAGCCAAGTCTGGCCAAAAGAAAGTTGAGACTTTATGTTGTTGCATGAATGTTGCCCCAATCTCTTCTGGAGACACACTCTTTGGTAAAGTTCGGTTTATCGTGCCATTCGTTACAAAAGATTTGCTGCGTTCCCCACAACTTCATAAGGCTTGACACACGACAAACTTCTTGGGAAACTGACTTTTTCTTAGTCCTGAACTCTTCGTTGACACCTCCGCGCTCACGTCCTACGTAAAACTCTTCACACGGAAGTTGGGAGAAGTCACAAAGAACGTACGTTTCGTCATCCATCAGACAGCAATATTTTTTTTGGAAAAAATCAGTGTTCAATTGTCGAGCCCAATTTTTTGCTTCTAGATTCTTACTTGCATTTCTGTTTGGTGTCGTCTGAACTTTATTTTACTTTATTGCCAATTTTCCGATTGGATAACCTACGATTCTTCTCCATTTCTCAACAATTTTCTTCCCTGTCTGTGGGCGTGTAAATCCACTTTTCTTACCCGAACTCGCTTTTCGGTTAACATAATGTTTGCTTGAACTGTTTAATAACGTTTGATACGGTCGTTCTATGAACGTTTACCTCTGAGGCGATTTTTGGCAAAGAGCCTCCTATGATTGAAATTTTGGTTTTTTGATCTTGCGAAGAGTTCGGACGTTTTTTGTGTGTAGCGATTTTTTCTGACCCAGTCCTTAAATTGTTAAAATTCTAAATTATAAAAAAAAGTAAAAAAGTTAATTAGTGCCCGTGATGATAATCAGTAAATGATGCCTCTTTGGATTTATGGGTCAATAGATGGTGGCAAAAAATAAACACTATTTTTCTTGGGCCAACATTTCGCCTATATTCAAGTCATCCTCAGGGCTTTACAATTGAAAACAGAGGGGTTTCAGCTCTAAGTTCAGCGAAATTAAACTAGTTCAAGTTGGTCAGAGTCGTCATTGGGAGACAATCACAATCGTAAATTAAAATTAACACTAAAGTAAAATAAAACATGACAAACAAGAGCATAAAATCGAAACGTCCAACACTAATTCAAAAGGGAAAAAAACACAAAGATACAAAAACTTGTCTTCTCCCCTCATTTGAAAATCTTCTCTTTTTCCCTGAAGATTTTCTAATGTGGGGAGGAAGGGGAGAAGAGAAGTTTTTGTCTTTCTGGTTTTTTTTTATGTTGAAATAGTGTTGGATGTTTCGATTTTATGCTCTTGTTTGTCATGTTTTCATTTACTCTAATGTTAATTGTAATTTACGATTGTGATTGTGCTCCAATGACGACTCTGTGACCAACTTGAAGTAGTTTAACTTTGCTGAATTTAGAGCTGAAACTGCTTTTTTTCAATTTTATAGCCCTGAGGATGACTCGAGTATAGTCGAAACGTTGACCCATAAAAATGTGTAAATTTTTTGCCAGCATCCGATAAACCGACAGACCTAAAGAGGCATCATTTAGTGATTAAATTTAACATTGGAGCATAATTTACTGATAATTTAATATCGAGTATTGATAGCCTATAACATAACAGTGAAGAATATTGAAGGATTTGAATGTGAATTTGAACTGGGGGTAACATCTTAAAAGTTTGCTTATTTTCAATTGTCGTTTGCAATAATTTCTTATTTTACTTCAGTATGCATATTCTTCCTGTGAGGATTTCACTTTTTGTGTGACATTGTTTGAAATGTTAATAAAGTATTCGCGCAATCTGTCGTGTAAATAACCTTCGCTTTTCAACTATACCAAACTTAGCAAATGCCATTTTTTTAAACCACAGGTAAAACATACCTGTGAAACACTGCTTTGAACAATGGGTTTGGCCTGAGCTCCTTTCTCGGGATCTCCATGGGCTTGGTGATAAGCCTTGATTTTTTCTACAGCTTCAGCCAAATGCGTTTCCAGTTTATCATTTCTATACCTAACCTTATCTAATTCATATTGCAAATCGTCGATCTGATTTTTTAACTCTGCGTTTTCAGTTTCTTTTGCTGTCAATGAGTCTTGTAGTTCAGCCACTTTTAAACTATTTGTATGGTATTTTTCGTGAAGAGATGTATGCAAAGCTTGCAAATTTCGATTTTCTGCTTGTAATTGGATATTGGTCTGCCTAATTGCTTCGTCAACTGATGGAGCGTCTTCTAAAATGTTACCATAAGCTTAATACTTTGGCATGTATGGGATGACACAAAGTATTCTAGTTTAGTTTGTTGGTGTTTCGTAACATTTTTAGGGAAAGAAAGGTTTTCAGTAAAGTCTATAACGTCAGGTTTTCCATATTGTGTTAATTTTTACAAGTTCAACTGCGTTTTTTACGCTATTATAACGTTACAATTACAAAAATGTTGATAACAAAACCAATTTTACCAGTGAATTAGTTAAATATCCTTCCTGATACTTAAATCATAAATTATTTTGTTATAATTATATCGCGCATAAAATGTACAAAATTGGACATAAAGTATATACAGGGTGTTTCCTCAAAAGTTGCACACTCCCTAGATCGTTTATTTCAAAAAAAATGTGTAAGTGACCAACACAAAATTTGAAGGTATATTGAAGAATAGTGTATTCCATACAAACTTATATGTCAAAACAACGCAATAGCTATTGTATAGAAAATACTTTACTTGTACTTACGTCCTTCCAATTCTCCTTTCAATGCCAACGTAATTTTTTCATTTCTCTGCATTAATCTATCAAAAGCCTGAATAACTTTGGCTACAGCTCGTCTCGAAACTTGGACTCGATTTGCGAGTTTGTCATTCAGTTCGTCTTTATCCCATGTTGATAGTTGCATCAAAAACGACGTGGTGGCTTCGTTTTCATCTAAACAAAATAAAACAATCGAAGAAAACTATAACTCACCGAGACATTATGAAATTGTTAAATTGAGGGAACCAGCGGTTAGAGACAAAATGAAATCCTCATTAACAGAACTGTGTGTAATTAATAATAACAATCCCGGACGAACGACCGTCCGGATGTTATATGGAACAACATAAAACAAAACATTCCGACGCTTTTCTCATACCACCAAAAACAAAGAAAAACAAATCATGGATGACCGATGAGATACTCTGCCGTATGTAGGACAGAAGCATCTCAAAAGTCAAACAACAACAACAACAAAGGTACACCGAAATAAATAACACTATTAAACAAGAATGCAGGCAAGCTAAAGAGAACTGGGTAACTGCAGAATGCCGAGGGCGGAACGCATGCTCTCCTACATGGATTTGTAAATTTTCCTAGAAAACTCAAACAAATAAGTGGCACCGCAAAAAAACCGCCAAGGACCTCCCTAAAACACAACGGGGAATTGATCTTAGACCCGGCAGATCTATGCAGCACATGGAAAAGCAGCACATGCACAATTATTATTTGAAGACCAAAGAGCAGCTCTGGGACATCAACAAACGATGGGACTGCGATCAAGAAGTTAAATTTAAAACGAAGTACGCAAAACCGACATTTTTCAAACTTAAAAACTTTCTATTAGCTCGCTAGGGGTTTTCCGGTAGCACTTAGACTACGGGTAGTAACGTGTTACAAATGGTCCATCTTACTATACGGGGCAAAAACGTGATATCTCAAAGTTAGAACCCTGAACCGCACGAGGCGTTTGAAATGTAGACTCTTCGGAGACTCTTGCTCGTACCATGAACCGCACATTCCACGAATGAAGATATTTTAAGAACTGCTTAACATCGTTAAAGAAAGAAAAGTTTTCTTCCTCGGCCATATCCTTAGAGGAGGCAAGAAAAAACATACGGAACGGGTGTACTACCATCAGCGACGCAGCCCATTTTTCGAAGAGCCGAAAACAGTGAACAGAAAACATGAAGAGTACCGACAATCGCCAATGTGCGGATAAGCACGAGTCACAAAAAGAAGAAGAAAATAAAACAAAACTATAATTAGGTAACGCTATTATCGGACACTTACTTTTGTTTTCCGATTCGTCTGCTGTTTCGGCGTCAAATCTCTGAAGTACAATCCTGATGTCTTCATTAAGTTGATTCCAATATCTGTTGACGACATTCAGCATTGCATCATCTTGGGTTTGCCTTTTCTCTAACTGCTCAATTCGCTGCCTCAGTTCCTGTTCGGTTCTACATCTTTGCTCTATTCGCTATAATTGAAATAAAATGATAAAATTCAGAAAAGAGACCGAATGGCAGATTGCCATACGCTGTTTGTGAAGAGCAGATGTTTTATAATTAAAAAAGAAACACTGCGAATAATTAAGTATTAAATAATCATACAAGCTACAAGCAAAACATAAGTAAGAAACTAAAGCAGATCAATTCTGTGAACTCAATTATTCCATTCCAATGAGATATTCCAGTTTCTTATATGAATATAATGCAAGAACAGTGTAGTTGGTGTTTCACAAATATTTGTTATTGAGTGAGAGTAAATGTCGTAAGTAGGTATAATTGAACTTTCAACGGTGTATTTCTAATAAACATCGAACATAAATTGTTACCGGTTTTTGAAGAGTTGAACATAGATTTAGATTTCTTCGTATACTTATTTACTAATACGCGCAAATACATTATTAATGACACAACTAAACCACACAACCATTTTTTTATCTGGGTTGAGACACTTATATCCTGTAGTAATTTGAGCTGCTGAACCCAAATCCGTGGTCAGTTTCACTCTACCAGGTCAGGATCAAGATGATTTCAAGGTCAAATTTAAAAACAATCATTTTGGCGGAAAAAGCCTATACATCTGTACGCTTTGTTCAAAAGAGACGAAATGGACTGATTAGATTCAGTTCAGCTCTTTTGGTTATCGAGATATTTGAAGTTTTTTAAAAACCATATTTTCCCGAAAACTATGAAAGTTGGAAAAAGTACCGTTGGATAGTGCTGAGCCCGAGATTTTGTAAAACATCACTTTTTTAATTAGGATGCTTCGTTTTCGATAAAAAAATAAAATGTTAACTAACCCAACAAAATTTTTGAGAATGTTTTTATTTTTTATTATTTAATTATTGCCAATCCCAGTTAAAGATGGAAACCGGGTATCAAAAATTAAGATCAAGTTTGGCATTGGATATTGTCGTCCCTATGTTATGTTTATAAGTTTATGTTTTATTATGTATGTCCCTATGTTTATAAGACATGGATGGTGGTTTACCGCGCTTTAACGTGAACGCTCTTTTGAACATAGCGTAGAGATGTATAGATTTTTACGGCCTAAATGGTTCTTTCTCTATTAGACCTTTGACGAGCAGGTCAAAATACTACAGGATATAAGTGGCTAAACACCACATCAAGAAAAAAATGTTGGTTGTGTGGCTGTGATATCTTTATTGCGTCGAAACTTGTTTCATAAAAAACTAGTAATGGCTAAACTGATTTACAAAGCTGAGGGATATCGCTTGTTTCGAAACCATTACATTGGAAATTTTTACCAACAACTTTTACAATTTGTTTATTTACGTTTTGAGCATATTATTTTATGGAATATAAGCTCCTGGATACCGATAAAAACATTTAAAAACACATATTTTTACAAGTTTATTTAATATCTACCTCAGGATGGCAGCCTTATATCAATTCTACATTAAAGCTTGGTCCGATTTAGTTTTATTGTTTTCGTTATACAGTATAGTTTTTCGTACCCTGAACCTTTAAATTATTATGTAAATAATTAAGTTTTTAGTTGACTATTATGTGTAATGTTTTGGATAGCAACTTATTGTTCCTCATTTACATGTATTTAGACAAAAATTTGTTTAAGTTGAATTGAAGTTAAAAGCTAAGATTTCGATTTGCGGTGGATATGCGGTCAAGCCTGTGATGGCACAAATAAATGCCGAGAAATGTAAAAAAAGGGATATTAGGATAATTGAACAAAAGGTATAATCGGCGCTTGGGCTACTTCGGTATATTTGGCAAAAATCTGAAGATGAAAAATTCGGGGCCCCCCTTATGTATAAATTGACAATTTTTTTGTTCAAAACTAAATTCCGGGACCAAATGATAGCTGAACGTGGCTCGATTTGAACCGAAAAAACTATAATGTCCACATTCTTGACAATGGTGCAGTTCATAATATAACTCGCATTCTATGCTGATTCCATAAAATGTCTATTAAAAAACGTCACTAAAAAATGAAAAATGTAATTTTATGCTTTATAGACTAATGTCGACGGCTAAAATTATTTATGCAATTTGATAATATTGGCAAAACAATTCTATGTAACGTTAATACAATTAGTAAAAGTGTTTAATGTGAGTAGGCCTCCCATAGGTGTCAAAATAAGTAGTTATGCTCCGTTAGGTGTCATTTTAGAGTGATAAACCTAGGACCGAAAACTACGTTCATTTAATAACAGGTTCCTACCTGTGCAAGTTTCTTGTTCTGGAATTGCAAGACTTTGATGTCCATTTCCTCTAGAGTAGAAACTGGACCAATTAAATGAGGTTCGAAGTGGATCTTCTTTATAGGTGGCGGACCAACACTTGAAGAAGCCTCTTCAACATGGCGTTTCGACATGTTTCGTCTAGGTGTTAACACCTTTCGCAAGCAAAACCTGCAAACCCAGTTACAATCAGTGACAAACAAATAATTCAATATAACTGATTACACGTTTGAACAAATAACATATACGTCGAAATCGTACAAGTCCAAAATTTGACATTTAAAAGTAAAATAGGCATCTTGTATTAAATATGTTCTCTCATCGATTGAGGGTAAATCCGTACGATTTACTTGATCATTAATGTCGTGGATCAGAATCATGAGGAGAAGAACCGTACAGTCCGTGCTACGTACGGTTCTTCACCCCAATTCTTAAGAACATGCAATATCGGCAGTTGTGCAGCACAAGATTTGAATCGTGCACAAGAAATTGCTTAATTCCTGTAATTTTTCAATTTTTAACAGAAAATATGTCATCCGGTGATCATAGGGAATTATATATTACGAGTGGGGTAGCAAAAATATATTGTGGATGGTTGAAAACTCAACAAAATAGAAACAGCACGTTTGCAGCGTGAGGCTTATGTTTCTACAACAGGAAAACATGTTCAAGCGAAGGCAGTAGGACCTCCGTGCAAAGTTAAAACATGTTTACCTGAATATTAATGTAACTATAATATTTTAAAGCTGTACACTAAACTGGCCGCAGCTGTTGCCTAAGGAGGAAACGAGAGAAATAATAGGTAATCTATGCGACGTTAGGCCAAAAAATGAACAAGATATTTGCAGGGACTTATAGAAGTTAAACCCATTCTAACGCATCGAGTACGAAGTAAATCACCTAAGCAAGAAAGAAAACCGATTTTTTCATACTTTGTTATGAAACAATCAAATCGAATTCCCGTATGTAATCAGGCATTTATAAGTCTGTATGCCATATCACATTGGCAAGTTCACCGTTTGAACGGTTTACTTCTAGCTCAAACAGGACTTAATTATCTACCCCACCAAATAACTGAGCCACACTTTTTTTTCGATTTACGTGCAAGCCAGAATCGTAATCAAACCATGGTCCGATTTTTACTAGCATTGTAGGCTACCAGGCCAGTTAATAAATTATACCATTATTTTTCAATAAGAGGACATTTGTTTCAGCGCTGTGACAGGGATTTTGGATGTGTAAAAAGGATCTTCAGGGGACAAAATACGAAGAGATGATAATATCTTCTAGAAAAAAACAACTGTTTCGTGTAAAGCAAATTCACGCATATAACGATATTCTTGATTTAAAAAATTGGAGGCTGGCTAACTACAAACAAGTTTTCTTCTTTAATTCGTGGTGCTAATATCAGAAAAGAAACTTTGGCTGTGTATCAAAATACAGGCACTTTCTCTGTAAAAGTTCTGATCTGGATATGTGACAACCTGGGAATGTATTTTACATATACATATTTGGTTTTATTTCCCATTGCTTTAAATTATTGAAAGAAAATAAAGAAAACCCGCCTCTACCCGATAGTGCTGCGTATAAAGAGCCAATTAGTACTTAGAAATATATTACTGGTGAAACATTGGAATGTTATTATCATGTAACATCTTGGAAACCGACAACTACCGAAAAATAAAATAAAGAGATCACCACAATAAGGTATTTTCTTATTATTCTTGTTCCATATATATAATATTATTAAATAAACAGGTCAAAACAAACAATTTTATGTCATACTAAATTGAGTGTGAAAACCGTACAAGTCCATCAGCTTTTCTTGCAGTATAATGTAATGTAAATTTGTTTTTCTGAATATTTATTGCTACGAATAGATCCCCAACCACCAGACCTAAAACTTTCTGTGCATACTATTACTATTAAAAGTAAATAAGTAGTTTCAAAGTTTATAAGATTTTATTCAATATCTATATCAAAACGTTTTCGGACTTGAACCGTTTTCAAACTCACCGATTCAATTGCATTTCTTACCTTTTATCAACTATTAAAAGTAGTTTTGTGTCCGTAAAAATTGAGAAAAGATTGTTAATGACTACAACATTTAAAATATTTTATGAAAACAAAACCAAGCAAGTGACAGCTGTTACCATTTGGCAGGTTTCAATGTCATCGCAGATCATTCAAACCTACCGACGTTGCCAAGCTTGTTTATGTTTGAAATAAGTTAAGGCTATGTATTGCGGGTTGCAGTACTGGAGGTTGGCGGTTATATGGAAAACTAAACTATCTTTGGCGGTTATACAGAACAGGCCGATTCTACAATGCAGATGTAAAGAACGGTACAGTAATTCCTGCTTTAACGTATATCTGCAGTATATATCTGAGTAAATTTGACAATTTCTTGTTCGTATAACAAGATTACGGCTGGTAACTTCGTCTAGAAACTGAAAATATATGTTTTTAAAAATTTAGATAATGGTGTTCAAATACTAATTTTCACATTGGCGTAGTTGGATCCCGTTTCCATTAGATTTTGTTACCCTAGAAAGAAGAATAACTACTAAACTGCTCATAAGTGAATGCACTGATTAAATATATTTTTTTCAGCTTATATGATGGACTGATTATATACTAATTATAATACCAGGCTTTTGGTATCCCTAGTCTAAACCATAGATAAAGACAAGGAAAAGTGGTCTAAACTTTTAAAAATATATATTTTTAGTTTCGGATAAAAAATAAATTGGAATGACTGAGAATAAGCAAGTTTAAGCTAACATGCTGCTGCTGATCATGATGTTCATTGCATTAGTTCACAACTATTCTTAAAAATTATCAATTAATTATATTCGTTCTTATAACATTAGTGTAATGCAGAGTTTCCCAAAACTTTGTCGATAACGGAACACTTTTCAAATCCAGAAATTTTAGCGGAACACTTACTTTGGAACCCAGTTTGGGAACGTTTGATGTAATGCATAGGTAACTGAAGAGCTCAGCTAATTTCAAACGTCTCCACCTACACACGTTATTGATTTGATTGTGTGTTAACTAAAAATTTGGCCAGTAAATCTGTTTCAACCCTTCGAAAATACAATATTCAACGGAAAATAACGCAATTTGCTGCACTTTTCCAGAAACCAGAGGCAAAAACTCGTTCGGTGTTCAAAATTTCCTGGTCTGACTGGTCTGAGATACTTAATTAACTTTTCTCATCCTGTACTTAAAACTTAAAATTATACTTTTTCAAACCTCGCTTTACGGTAGTTTTTGGCAGACCTGTTGATACAGTTTAATTTCTTGTTGACTTTTTGCGATTATTCTCAACAGTTCCTAATAATGTTATTATTAAAGTGATAACTTTTTATGGGAGGGTGAACCGATTTTTGTCGGTTACGGTGAGCCGTAACGTTGGCTCCCACTCCGGCCTCTTCGCGCCTGAGGCTTGGGACGCACATATGCACTTTGAATGCGACATTTCTCTCTTAGTGCGGGTGCATCTGTAGATCTGATAAACTTTTCAAATACACATTGCGTTATTAAACTGACGGTGATTTTGATTTATCAATATTTGAGTGTGATATTATTGCGTTCGGTGCAGTTTATTTTATAACGCTGATAACAATCTAAAGGGTGCTCATGTACTAAATGCCTGTTCGAGTTTCGCCTTTTTTAAAATTTCCAATTAAAGTATACACACAATTATACACACTAAAGCAGTTTAAGTGCAAAAAAATGCGGATCGTCCATCAATTTGCAGAAAAATGTATTACAAACTTTTGAAAATCA